CCCCCACTCCTTCCCTCACAGAGCCTCCGGCAGCAGCCATTGCAGTCTTTAGGGGAGGGAGCAAAGTTTGCTCTCACCCTGTTCCAGCTCCACTGAGGGGGGCTCCAGCCTCTCCGCCCTCCGTTGTGTGGCTGTGTGTCTCTCCAAGGATTTTGTGTTGTTAGGATGTCTTCTGTTGGAGTATGGATGCCCCTTTTTGTTCTATGTTGGAGGGGACAGAGTCCCGGGCAAGTGCACTCCACCAGGATGCTGACATCACTTCTCCATAAAATAATCTTTAAAAATAAAAAGAAAAGGCAGAACCAGTGCAAGACCTAACAGGAACAATGGGCCTTATGAAAACCACAGGGATTCGTGGACCCAGAAGATAAGATAGTCAACAAGAAACTTGGGACAGCTCCCAGGGAGAAATGTGGATCAGCTGAACTGATAGCAATCAAGGAATTTCTTAGAACTTCTGTGGAAAAGACTGAACTCAGGGAAGACCTGACAGGCACTGACAAATGAAGCTCCTAAGGTACATGTAGTGGGAGATCTGGCAGACGTTACGATACTTATGGCAACTCCAAATTATAAAAAGTTGCTCATAGAAAACTCTTAGTAAGGATTCAGATGTATCAGAGAAATTATAAGAAAAACCTAAAACACCTATAATAAAAGATGTGAAAAATGCTACTCAAGAAAATCAAGTAATAGAAAAAAACAGAACATACACAGAGTATACACATTTTGCAATCAAAAGAAAGTGTATAAAGCCATGAAAAACCTTTTTTTTAAACACGAAAAGGAAACTTGGAGCCAATAGTTATCACTACTTTATTGAAATGACCAAAAAAGGAAAAATTCAATTGAAGACTTCTTGGAATGCAAACACTTAACGGCAGAATCCAAACAAAAGACACAATGTTTGGAAGTTGACCACAGTGGAATCTTTGACTCAGTGAACAAAAATAAGGCTGGGCCAGGAGAAGTCAGTCAAGAAAACTCCTCCTGTAACCGTTGTGAGTATGAGTCCAAACCAACGCCTCTGAAGCAGCTGATGTGCAGCCAGAGGAGGTGCGAAATAGAGCCAGATCCACCTCAAACACAGAAATAGAGCCAGAGAGCCAGATCCACCCTCAAAACAAAGAAGATTTTCAGGAATCTAAACACTTGCCTAGTCAAACAGAGAACATGCAAACAGAGATGAATGTAAAGAAATATGAACTTAATTTTCAAGAAAATCTGAGTCAGGACTATCCATGTATCCCAGACGTGGACATAGAGCAGATACAGAACTCAGGAGTCTCAGTTGCTTACATCAAGAGAAGAAGAGTCAAATAGAAAACATGAAAAGAATACTGTGAAGAGCTTCCAAGAGAAAAACCCAGAAGATGGAGCTAGGAAACAAAAGACAGAGACCGTAACGTCTGGGGAAAGAGTAACACTGGTGCAAATCCACAGGAGCCCGCTGGCTTGGCTGGTCCAGCAGGGTTATGTCCGTGGAAAAAGGTGACAAACCAATGATGAGTTTGCAAGAAAAAAGTTAAATCTACTAATGAAGAGAAGATACTGTTAAGACCTAGGAAAATAATCAAAATTAATTTTTATCTGGTAAAATCTTTGGTCAATACAAAAGATAAAATTCACACAAACCAAAATAAAACAGGAGCAAATCTGGAGGGTTCCAACCCCTTGTCTGATGAAAGAAATGTAGCCAACAAAGAGGTGGAAGATGAAACTACTGACGGTTTCTCAGATAAAATCTTCAACAACAGAGTGGGGATTCTTCAAGACCATCTAGAAACAGGAATAAAGGAAATGGAAAGTTAGAAGTATCTTCTAATCTACCCTGTAAAACAGAGATACCACATACAGAGGAAGCTGAAGAGGAGCCCATGCGTAAAATCCTTAAGAACATGAAAGATGCAGCAATCAATGGTAAGTCAAGCTGTCTTTGAGGCCTAGAGGCTCAAATAGCATCTTCCCTACAAGGATAGGATATGATATTTTATCCAGTACAACAAATAGAATGTCTGTGAGCAAGAATGAGGAGAAAAGTTAATCACTCCTCAGGTAAGATGACACACACAGAGGAAACCACAAAGATGCCTGTGAGAAAAATTTAGGAGTAGAAAGATATAGAAGTCAATGCAGAAATAATGTGCTTGAAGTTTGGAATCCCAAATCAGGTCCATGTCATTTACGTCCAATTCTTTGCCCTTATAAATATAGCAGAGAACACATCATTAGGGAAGGACAGGGAGGAAAGCGCTGACAATCCCTCCAGAAAAATCCAGGTGAGGAAACAAAAAAGATAAAGAGAGAAATCAAGATTTAATGTTTGAGATCTAGAAAAATTAAAATCCTTGCTAGATAGATGGAAAGATTTGATCATTTGCCCAGTGTGACAGGGGAAATTTCCATAGATAAGGACAAACAGAAACACGGTTATAGTCCCTTAGTGGATAAAAGGAAAGGTCACCTGGCTCAAAACTGGAAACCTAAAGAGGTCAGATGCAAATAGAAAACAAAGGAAAACACTTTGGAAACTGTTTTACCAAATGAAACTTTGTGCAAACGACCACACCATAATCAGAGTGATATCAAATCGCAGCGGAGAGTCACTTGGAATTCTAAGAGATGCGTTTTGGAAGTAACATTCTCCAAAAATCCAAAGCAGGACAACATACAAAGAAAGAAAATAAGAACAAGAAGATATCAAGACAACAAAGGTGCTTAGCTAAGAAGTGAAAGAGGGAAAAAAGGTGATAATCTTTAGTTTGATTGCAAGTGTAAATATTCTCCATAGTATAATTTTTGCCATAAAATTAAAATGAATTCTGTAAATAAAAGAAAATAAATAAAATTACGTTCTATCTGTATTTAAATATAATCAAAGTACTGGCTTTATTTGACATTTGATTATTTTATAGGCAAAATAAAAAAAGAATTAAGACATCCTTTCCACTCTTTGGAGGAAACGATGTCTGAATTTCTTGCAGTTAGCTGGTTGCTGATTCATTCTTTGTTTGATAAAATACCTTCCATTAGCCCATCAGTTATTAGCCTTTTCAGCAATGGATGGAAGGAGAATGGAAAAGTAAGCTGTAAACTAGTGAGGTCAGATAGAAACTTGCCAAGTTCTCTTTCACTGGCTGCCCGTCTGCACCGTGTGCTTTTGGAGAGATGGCTAACGCTGGGCTGCTCAAAATAAAAGAACTCATCGTTTCTCTCAATCTGGAAAGGCAAATTTATTACGATTCATGAAATTTTTACAAAAGTCAGTGCAGAATATTGTATAAATCTGAACACCATATTCATGTTTCTAACTATTTCAGCGCTGAATTGTTTCCTTTATTAATTTTATTTGAGAGAAACTGTATACACAAAGTATAACATTAATGTGGTTAGCATATGGCTTTTAAACTGTTGAGCCATTTCCTTAACATTCCCTCAGCCTTTACAATTGAGTCTTTTTCCTTATACAGTACACCTCGTGCCCTTTGCATAATTGCCCATGCCGTGGTCCATGGCGGAAGCATGCTCACATTTGCAGAATGTGGCCTCTTAAAACTATCATTCTGTCTCAAGAAGACATTTGCCCCTGGGTTATGATATTGTACACCAATAACAATAACAAATTGCTTTTAAGCAACTGCTGATTATATAAATAAGTGATTTAGGAAATCAATCATGTTTTCTCACATTCTGGATGGATTCTTACCATCTTACCAAATCCAGGACCATTATTTCCCTACTCATGAGAGGTCAATGAAAATAAACTGGTTTGAAATGTTTTAGTCGTGAATTTCTTTGATAACTGAGAACCAGGAGCAAAGACCTGGTTAGTACCAGACAACCTGGCCGCCCCGGGTGGGTTTCGTCAAGATATGCACGTCTGTAGCGGCCTTGCAAAAAATATCAGTCACAGAATGTGAATATTTATATGTAAACACACACACATATATATACACACACATAAATCTGTGTCCGATAACTATATATAGAAGACTATTAAAAATAAGTGAAATCAGCATCTCATTATGAATTATTTTCAGGTGAGAGAATAACTATTTTTCTATATTAAAAACTATTTTCTACATTTCTATTTTCTCCTAGTTCTATCTAGGTAATAACTAACTTCCAGATGAAATCTGTAAAACCAAACACCAGACAGCGCCCTTAGTGCTTTCAACATGTTTTTACTCAGGTATCCTAGCACTACGAACACTTAGGTTCTCTGTGTATTAACACGGTATGTTCCACATGCGTGTGCACTATGAGGCATGTTCATTTATCACTAATAAAAATAGTTTCTAAGGATTTTTTCCCCACATAATTATGACTGAGCAAAATTGTGCTTGGTAAATCAATGAACTGCAAGAAAAAATCAAAATAGAGTAAAATTCATTTTTATTGGACTGGGGGATGTGAATAAAAGCTTGTGTGATGTGTAGGAAAAAAACAAGGGTGAAACTTGTAATTTTAAAATTCAGCAGAACCTCATTGCATGATTGGTGTCATATCATGGACATTCTAAATTTTAAGGAGAGAAATATTCCATACTTGATACAAAGGAAACATATTTGATCTATAAATGTATTTTTAAAAGATTTGGCTGTAAAGTTCAAGTTGTTAGTAGTAATAACATATAGGATATACTTCATGTACTGGTATTTGGCTATTTATACTAATGTTTCAGCTATAAGTCAATTTTAAGAAGTGTCTACAAAAGCGTATTCTCAAAGTATCAATCATTTAAAAGAACATGGCAATTTTCCAGTTTGTTTGAATGGTGGGTGGTTTTGATAGCCACGTGTAACAAAAATTTACAGTGTTTGAGTAACATTAATATATGTGATTATTCAATATAATGTGATTTCATTAAATCTTGTACCATTCTCAAAAGATATGGTTTCAACTCCTGATGCTTTTGCCAATTTACAGCTTAAAATTGCTTTTAAACGACAGATGCACATTTCACATTTTAATACAATACCATATAGTGACACATCTGATAGAATTTGCACAGAGAAAGCTTTTAATGTTTTTCTATGTTTTAATACACTTCAAATGATTTTTCTTTAATGACAGGGTCATTCGCTTTTAGAAGTTTAAAGTAAACCATTCTTTTCTATTACAATTCAGACATTTTAAGATTTCTCAAGGTTGTCAGATTTTTTCAATCATAAGAACAATGTTTCTAGATACATGTGTGAGGTCCATGTGTGTAATCTTTCTTAATACCCATCATTCCCAAAGCAGAGAAACCTTTTTTGTTTTCCTTCTTTTCCCTTCATGACAATCATAAACTGTAACAATTATATGGTATACAATGTGTATATTGTACATAGACAATATGCATATGTACATTATACCTAATGCACTTTAATATATTATTTTATATTACCATTTGCTTAAAGGCCATTTCATAGAATGGGAGAACTGACACAATGACATTTTTTTCTTAAGCTAGGTTGACCGAATTCTGTAGTACATTACTGCACAAGTATGGCTTTAAACAAAAGTTACAAGTCACAGGTTCTTAGATTCTGCATCATGTTGTGGGACATATTCCAAATGAAAAATGGAGGGGAAGGTGCGTGACATCATGCTTCATGGTATGGCATATATGCATCAATCATTCTTACATATAACTATGTGGTGAATGGTACATTTAAGACCTGAACTACGTAATGTACAGTAATTATAAAAAGTTATATATTATGCCACAGTACTAAAAATAAAATGTATTCTTCTCAAATAGTGAAAATAAGATATCCTTCAGGTTTTTTTTATGTCACATTACGTTTTCCCGTTTGACCATGCCTTTTTTTCCATTGTAAATGAAATAATGTCCAATAATTTATTAAAGAATAATGACAGAGCATGGGCAATTTCCTGGCCATTAAGGCCCAAAAGAGGTGATAAGACGATTGTTTTGTCATTAATTGCAGAAATATACTTTTGATGCGTTCAATACATGGTCAAAATATAAAAATAAAAGACAAATAAATATAAATATCTTCTCAGTTATTGAAAAATCAAATGCCCAACTGTATCTTATTACGAATATGGCCTTGGATATCCGGAACTGCTGCATCTTGAAAACGCACAGCAATTAACCGGGCATCACGGGCGGCCCCACCAAGCTGTGAGGCGGAAGCTGTGACTACCCGGGGCCAGGAAGACACAGAGGGTTTGGGGGGTCTCCGCTACGGAGGGCTTCCATCACCCCTAGCCGCTGCTCTCCCAGACCTGCGCGCAGTCTCCCGTCGCGGCTCGCCCCCTCCGGCTCCTCGCCCTCCGCGCATCCTGGGAGACCGTGACCTGTCCAGGCGAGAAGGAAAGAAATGGAACTGCGTCCCTTTTCCCTCATCGCTAAAGGATGCCGCCCTTCTCCCGACACACTGATGGGCTCACGTGTTCTCTGATGGGGGAAGCAGGCACTTACGAGCGAACTGAATCTGAGGCGAGGCGGAGGGCGGGACGTCTTTCGAAATTGCGCTCTGGGCGCATCCGCAGCAGTCGCCCCGCCGCGCTCCTAATGTCTCCTTGAACCGAACGACACGCAGGGAAACTTAAGATTCCGGGGGAGAACGGGGGTGGGGATGACCCCAACCCAGTCACCGGGCGACGGGCGATTGGGCTGGGGTGCCAAGAGGGGTCTGGGGCAGCTGGTGGCAGTCTCGGCCACACCGGCCGCTGCGTCCCACCCGCAGCCCCAGCCCGTTCTGTCCGCGTGTCCTCGAGGGTCCCCGGGGCTCAGATGAGCGGGAAGTGGCCGTCGCCGTTGTCGGACTCCTCGGCGGCACCGCCGCCTCGCGGGTGGCCGAGCACCGACACGGGCAGCACGATGTCCCCGGGGCGTGGCTGCTGCAGCCGCATGGACTCCTCGTAGGTCGGCAGGGTCTTGACCTCCTCGTAGCTGGGCAGCTGCAGGAAGGCCGGCGGGACTACGCGCAGCTCGTGCTCCGAGGCGCAGAAGGGGGCTGCGCGCCCGCCACCGCCCCGGTCCCGGCCCCCGCCGCCACTGTCCAGCAGCGAGTCCTGGGAGCCGGCGGCCGCCTCGTCGCGCAGGAGCGCGGGCGAGTCGTCGTCGTCGTCGGGCGGCCCCGCGGCCCCCGGCGGCCCCGGCCGCGCCTGCCCGGGCCGCGCCTGCCCTCGCGGGTACCGGCGTGGGCTGGGGCAGATGATGCGCTGCAGGAGGTAGCCGATGGCGAAGAGCACCAGAAGGATGAGCAGCCCGGAGAGCTTGCGAACGAACCAGCCCACGCTGTCGAGGAAGGCGTGCAGCGACGGCTTGCAGCAGCGCACGGCCGTGGCGTTGGCCGCGTCGCAGCAGCGCTCCCGCTCCCCGCACCCCAGCTCCGCGCAGCCCCCGCCGCCCCGCGAGGGCGCCACCAGCGCCAGCAGCAGCAGCGGCAGCATGGGCGGCGGCGCCGGCGCCCCCGACAGGCCCTCGGCTGTGACCCCGGGTGCCCACATGGCCCGCGCAGACCGTCGCTGATGGCCGGGCTGGGGCTTGGGCTCCGTCCGTCCGCGCGCTCCGCTCGGGTCCCGCCGCCGCCGCCGCCCGCGCCGCCTCCGCCTGCGACCGGCGCAGTCCCCGCTCGGCCACGCTCGGGCGGAAGGAGGAGCCCGAGGCGGGCGAGGCCGCGGGAGGCGGCCGCCTGAGCCTCTGACCTTGACCCCGCGCGCCCGGCCGCCCGGGTCAGGCGCGGGGCGTCCAGAGCCGCCCGAGAGGGCGGAGGCAGCCTGCGCGAGCATCTTGGTCCCGGCCGGCCGCGCCCTTCCAAGCCCCCTGTCACCCCTCGGGGCTGGAAGGGTTAACGCTCCGCGCGGGCTCGGGAGCCCCCATCCTGATTAATTCAGCCGTCGCGCTCTGCCCGCCACACGGGCGGGGGCTCTAGCTAGCGTAGGTGTCTCCGTTTTAAGTGATTGGATTTCCTCAGGAATGTCATTTAAATTGTCTTGCGACTGGGATTCGCTTACCATCCTTCTTGTGATCTTTCTGATTAAAAATAGATGATGGCTGTTAATGGCGGGCGCAGCCAAAGCTTGGCGGGTGGGGACGGCCGGATGGTTCGCTTTCAGGCAGATGCAGGGGGCTGGGAAGCCGACACCCCCAGGAGATCTCCAGAACAGACAGAGAATTCCCCGGAGAAGCCGAGGTCACGGCACCACGGAAGCAGCCCCAGAGGGGCAGGGGATCCCTGTGCCAAAGTGACTTGAATTGGCCAAAGAGAGGAGAGGAGGCGCATATTTCCCCAGCAGCTTACCTGACGAGCCCCCACTGCACCCGAGGCCCAGAGCGGGAATTCGGGTTTCGGGATACACGGAGGCCTCCGTGAAGCGGCAAAGGGGAGTCGTAAGTGGTGAGCAACGTTCCTGAGCATCGATCTGCGACCAAAGGGTCTTTTTCGAGGTCATTCTTGTTTGCAAAGTTTACCTTTAAAAGGAGTCTGTGCTTCCACTTAGCACATGGGGCAGAGTCTGTTTCCTTGAAGTCAGCACTCCCTGGGGAAGCCCCTCAGCGCGTCCCGGAGGAGGACGGAGGGCGGCCGCTCCCGCGCTGGCTGACCCGGCACACCTGCTGGGCGGTAGCCTTAGGCGACCCCTTGGAGGCAGCACCTCGGAGGCGCCAGGACCCTCGCTTTTATCGAGGCAGACTCAGACAGACAATCGTCTTTTTAGGATTGGGATTCATTCATCCCTCACCCCTTAAACATTAGGGCCCCTGTAGAGAAACCCAATGGGAAATTTCATAGTCATTGAGGGGAAAAGTAAAAGCAAAGGAAAAACAGAGTCAGGCAAGAGTCAACTGTGGGTCAGATAAAAGCAAAGAGTGAGTCATACTGTATCTCCTCCCCAATAGCCTTATGGACCAAGGTGAGGGCTGGTGACTTGATTAGACAGGTCTTTGCTCTGCCTAACTGAAGAGATTTTAAATAGTTCTGCTGCTGGGAACATCTTAGTTTGCCTCACTCTCCAGAACAATCCCTGCTCCTCCTGGAGAAGCTCCTGAGTGTCACTCACACAAGATGCTTCGCGGGAAGCTTGGCTGAGGACTGTGCGGGCTCGCCCAGAGCCGCCGGCCCCCTGCGCGCTGTGCTCTGCGGGAGGCGTCGACCCCACTAAACTGTGTGACGCCTGCTTAACGAGGGCTCTCAAACTGCGGTAACGTGACGGCGTGGAAATGATTCGTTTTAAAACAATGAAAATTGTATGATTCTTTTATTCACTCGTTCTTTTGCCAAATTTACATTGAACATTTTCTATATTCAAGGAACTCTGCTAGATGCTCACCATTATAGAGGAAAAAATGACTCCCTCCCAGCGTGGAGTCAGCCCAGGTCTGCACTGCGGCTGCTAGTGAACGGAGTACAGGAGCAGTTCCGCAGAAGGGGACACATGGCAGCTTCTTCTCTGATCATGACGTGCTCCTCCTTTCCCAAAGGAAGGATAAAGTTAATGAGTTTCAAACGATCTCTAGGATGAAGGCACTTCATAACTTGAGATGGACTTTGAGTTTGAAGTGAACAAAAACCCTCTTTGGGTTTTTCTGATCTGATCTTTTGGGATTTCTTCTAGCAGTAGCAGGAGCAGTGGCCAAAGTTACCGGGAGTTGTGCGGGTGCTGATCCACAGGCGAAAGGGCCCTGCTCACTGTGGTTCTGAAATTACTAAACAAATGGCATTTAAATTGTTTAATTTCTGTCTGCCTTTAAGGAGTTAGAATTTGTTTGCAGAATATTAGGCTACGGTAGAAGAACAGGATAGATGTTACATAAAAAAAAAAACCATTGGCAGAGTTTTTTTATATGAAAACAAAAGGATGAGGTCTGCAAAATGAGTATGGAATGGATTTTTATTTGATTTGTTTTCTTTCCAAATTGCTGGCCCCAAAGCGTCATGCATTGAAGACCCCGTGCAGAAGCTGGCGCCTCTTTGTGTCTTCTCGGGTCTCCCAGCCTCACTCAGTTCACTTGTGTTTGCAATGTGATTTATTCTGTGCAACCTTTTCAAGGAAAGAAAAGAAACCCTGTCGCTTTAAAAGCCCCAGAAAAGATGTGCTCTTCATTGCTCAGCACCCTTATTCTTTATATTTAACACACAAATGAGTGGGATAAACTTAGCTCCCAGAAAGTCATAAATTCAGCCACTTAGTGAGGAAGATGGAATTTAATCATTCATCCCATAGAATAATTGAAAGATAAGGGAAGATGACAATGTAAAAATTTTTTAAAAACCTTATTTTGTTGAAAATTGGCACCAAAATTGTGTGTAAATCAGTGTGTGCAAGAGGAAAAAAAAAACAGATGAAGGGGGATTGGGACCAACTTTTATCCAGAAAGCGTGGTCTCTTGGAGTACAGCTTGATAAATATTAAGAACATTAACTGCTTTATGTTGCTGTAGTGCTTGGATAATATTTTTTGAAAATTTGTCTTCCTCATTTATTTACATTCATAATGACTGCCAAATTAGCCACACTTTAACTTTTCAGAAGAAAAGGAAGTAAACTGATTGCAACCCCTCGGGCTGCCGAGTTACCTGTGCTTCGGGAGCGTCCGATGACCTGAGGAACCCTGGGTGCGCCCCTCGTGCAGCTTTCTGTTCTAGCACAGAAACGGTTTACCTGGTCCAGGGGGATCTTCCCCCGATGTCTGCCCACTGCGAGCCTTCAAGTTTGGGGAGCAAGACGTGGCCCTTTTCATGTCCCATCTTCAAAGTGCCTAAACCTGGAAACTTGTAAACCATCCAGTCCATAAAACCCCTCATTTGGGGGTGCAGCATATTTCCTAACTACTAACTTGTTATTAAAATTGATTTATTAACATCCTCACCTTTTGGTTTCCCTTCATTTGCAGGATGTCCTCCCTGAGTGACAGTAAATTAAGGATTTTACTGTAAATAGCATATATTTGCATGAATGTGCCTACCTAGAAATGATTTGTGATCTGAAATAATCTGCTTTGAAGTTCTTTTCAGATCATATTTCTTTCATCACTCATTTGATAAATATTTAATGAGGGCCCACTCTGAGCTAAGCATTCTGCTCTGTTGTGGGGGTTACTGTGAAATTTAATTGTTCCCTGTTCTCAAGGAGCTTGTTGCGAGAGGGAAGAGGGAACAACAGAGACTAATCAGTCAAATTAATAAGTCACTAACCGCAAACAGTGAGCAGTGCCTGTGAAGGAGAAGCACCTGGCGCGCTGCGTCTTTACGGTGGATGTGATCTAGACTGGGGTGGGCTGGGGGTCAGCTGGAAAGACCTCCCAAAGAAAGAGCTCCTTAACAAAGGACAAAGCGAAGAGGACCCGTGCGCTCCCAGCAGAGGAAAGGTCACAGGGCCAAGTTCCTGAGGTGGGAAGACCCTTCACATGTCACCTCTTATGCTTGGGGCAGAAGTGGTGAATTTCTTCCTCAGCCGTCGAGCCTCTCTCCTGGGTTAGTTTAGCTGCGTAGAGCAAAGCTACACCCCTCCCCACCCCCCCCACCCCCGGTTCTGTGCCGGCATCTGTAACAGCTTGTAGAATGATAGTTAGCTCTGCAGTCCTGCTCAGTGTCCTCTTGGACACCAGGAAACTTCCAGAAATGTCTCCTGTTCTGTCTACCTCCACACCCCCGACCTGGAGGAGAGTTTGGATTTCCTGTCAAGTCTTAGGAGCTGGCAGCTTGCCAACAAAAGGCTTCTTCAAGCCAAACGCTTGAAGGAGAAAAGTCAAAGTGAAATGGTTTGTATCTTTCATTCAAATTAGATGCACAAGGAAATAGAATCTTTCTCCCGTGCTTGAAGTTGGAAACAGAAGGTTGAGGATTTTCAGGCTCTTATGAAAATAAGAACCTCTGCATTTGCACTTGACCTTTCAGCTTTTAAATCACTGCCACACACACTGCTTTGATTTCTTCTCACCCTGCTCCTGTGAGAGGGGCTGAAGTTATAATTATCCTTGTTTCCGGGTGAAGAGAGGTTAGGACATCCGAGTCATGGAGTAAATTAGTGGCAGTGCTGAAACTGAGACGCAAGGCTCGTGAATCCAAGTCTAGAGGAGAGGCCGGCAGGCGTCTCCCGAGCTCACCCGGGCGGCCAGCTGGCCCGTGGGAGGCTCTGGGCTTCCCTCCGCCAGCTTCCGACGTGGTAAGAGGCCAGCTGTCAGAAGAGGACTGAGAGCTGAGCTGGACACTATTCTAGACCAGCAACCCGAGATCCTTCTGAGAAAATAAAGCTTTTCTTTCTCTCACTTTTGTGGCCACTTTTGGTAACCCATTAATAATATTTACATAATTTTTGTATGCAGTTCTGCAAACAAAAAAATTAATTCCCCTCCCTCATTACAGTACATTCTTTATACAAGAACTAAGCCATCGAATGCTCATCAATACCTAAGGGAATATGCTTGAGAAAATAAGGATATCTTGGGTTCTGAAACACAAAATTAATGTACAATATTAACTATCAATGACTTCACCTTCTATATTTAAATTTTGCTTTATAACAATTTATCAGTTAATTTCACATGGCCAATTTTCTCTTTATTGCTGGGGAT